TCATGTTTTTGAAGGCATCTCCGTTTTCTTTTCTCCACAGTTGTTAGCCATCAACAGGGTTCCCTTTCTTCAAACAGGCACTCAAGGAGACAAAAAGTACAAACAACATCAACCGGTGAATGAAGCCGTTATGAAAGAGCTGCACAATGGAGTGCTATTCTACCTTAAAGAAGGAATCCCCGTCATTTTTAACACCATGGATAAAACCGGAAGACAATGTGCAAAGTGGAATAAGCCAGAGAGAGAGAGGACAGATGTTGCATGGTTTCCGATATATAAGTAAACTAAAAGTTAAGAAATACCATTCAAATTCATCAACTCAGAGAGGAGAGAATAGTTACCAGCCAGGACCTAGAAAGTAAAGGGGTAACATTGGTCTAAGGATACTGTACTGTCAAAGTTAATTTTTCTCTCTGCTGTGATCAAAAGCAACCTGAAAAAGGAAATATTTTTTTTTCTGGTTTACTATTCAGGAGACACAGTTTATCACAGCATGGAAAAAGAGGTTTCTGGCTATATTACAGTGTTGTTTAAAAGAAGGAAAATCCCAACCATTCTATTTTACCAATAAAGACTCAGGAGCCAGATGCTGGGGTGCAAACCAGCCAGCTCAGAGAGGCAGAGAAAGTAACCAGCTAACCTTCCTTCTCAGATCTGGATGGAAAAAACCCAAAAGGCTAACCAGCTCAGCTGACAGCACAGGAGCAAAAGACAAAAAAAACCCAAGGCCAAAGGCTTGCTAACTTAAAGTCCAAAAAGCCAGGGAGCTGAGGAGCTGAAAATGCAGCCTAAGCTAAACCCAGAGCTTGAATTAATAGCCCTTTCTTCTCTACGCTGTCTTAAATACCCCTCAGCTGTCTCAAATACCCCTCAGCTGTCTCAAATACCCCTCAACTCAAAGTCCTCCTTCTCTTTAATCCCTGTCAGCTGGTTTCTTGTTCTGCCTCTTGACCCAGGTCTACCTTTATTAGATCTGGTATACAGAAAACTCTTGGATTAAAGGTGTGTGCTAGGGCTGGCTGAACCACACCATAATCACCAGTTTACAATAAACAGAAAGTTTTTGAAATAAAGTTGTGTGACCAAAGAAACAGGGTAAGTTCACAATTTGGGGGTTCACAATAGCGTCAAATATCCTGCAACATTCTACCCACAGCCAAGAAGCAGACTGAGATGCACACGGTTACTCTTGCCTGCTTTCACCTACTTTTTCAGTCTGAGATTCCAGACCATAAAATAGTGCCACCCACATTTGGACTGGTCACCTCAGTTAGCTTGGTGTACATGTGCCCAGAGGCACAATTCTACACCCTGTTAAATTGGCAGTGAAGTCTCACCTCCGCAGGCACAGGCTTCCAGCTGTGATCAACCAGTCCTTGAGGTCTGCTGCACAGAGTGGAAACTGTCCCTCACAGTCCTGTGTTACTTACTAGAAATTTGCTGACAGGGTGGATCTTAGGCGATCTCTTTGGGTGTCTGTGGTTACATTGGTTAGCTTTAAATGTCTTCCATATACACTTTGTCGATAATTTCCTATAGCGCGGGAGAACCATTTTGTCCTACTGGCCCAGCAGGAAGGAAAGGTTTCAAAATGTCAGCAGTTGTTGGGGCAACAGACCATCGCCGATACCCATGGCCTAACTCATATGACCCCTCCATCCATATGCATATCCTTAAGAACCTCCACTCGGGTAAATCTAGGTCCTTAACTATATCACAGAAAGAACATTTTAGAGAGAGTCAGAGTACATCAAAGTTAGTAAGTTTATTAAGCAGAGATGGTACACACTGTTGATTTAAGAGCAGGTGTTGGCACCAAGAGGTGCCAGGATGGACAAAGTTCACACTCACAACATGAATGTGGGCTTCTCAAGAGAAAAAAAGGAATACTTACATGCTGCCCTAGTTTGCTTTATAGTATTGTTCTGAATACCAGGAACAAAGCAACCTGGGGAGGAAAGGTGTTATTTCATCGCACAGCTTACAATCCATCATGGAGGTAAGTCAGAGAAGGAACCTGAAGGCAGGAACTGTAGAAGAGACCATGAAGGAAGACTGTTTACTGGCTTGGAAGACTGTTGAACTGGCTCCTGTTCAGCTACCTTTCTTATACAACCCAGTACCACCTGCCCAGGGTGGAAAGGCCAGCAGTAGACTAGGCCTTCCCACATCAGTCATTAATCAGGAAAATGCCCCCACAGACTGGCCCACAGGCCAATGTGCTGGGGGTACTGTCTCAAGTGTGGTTCCCTCTTCCCAGATGACTCTAGTGTGTACGGCGTTGACGAAACACTACCCTGCACAGGTGTCTTTACAATGGTATATGCATATCCACAGGTAATTTTGGAGCTTTCTAAGGCTCACTGTTATAGCTTCAGAAACCCACCTGTAGCAAACAGCTGCCCTGCCAAGGCAAGAGGAAGGGTAACTGGAGAGCCAAGGCAGAGAAGACACACTACCAGGATGGAGTGAGCAGATTCAGACATGTATCCCTTGCAAGAACAACAGCTGTACCCAAAACAGCAGCTATGGCACATCCAACGCATCTTGAGGATTTCGATGGTCAGCCATAATGTAAATGCTCTTGTTTCAACACCTGATTAAAAGGCTGAGTAAGCAAATGAATGAATACAGCTGGGATACAGAGTTAATAAAGTGTAACTAATTTAAAAAAAATGAATGAGGGCTGAGAATTGTAGTTCAGTGATCAAGCACTTGCTTAATATAGCCCTAGGTTCAATCCCCAGCATAGCACATTAAAAAAAAAAAAATCTTTTGGGGATGGAGAGATGGCTCAGCATTTAAGGTCACTGACTGCTCTTCCAGAGGACCCAAGCTCAAATCCCATCACTTACATGGCAGCTCACAACTGTCCTTAACTCCAAGATCTAACAGCCTCACATAGACATACATGCAGGCGAAATAAGGGTAAATAAGTTTTTTAAAAAATAATCTTTTTAAATAAAGCCCTTATTCTACATAAACTAATGGGCATGGCATCACAACTGTAAGACTTGGCATCCTAATTGTTAGCCTACATGTTTTCACGTTGTTAAAACAGTAGAGCAATGCTCAAATGTTAGAAAAGCAGAAGAAATTCTAACGAAGTCCTAGCAAGGCCTGAGGAATGGTAGAAATGCTGCCAGTAGAGTTCGCCACTCTGGGAGCGCCTCCACTCCGGGAGCACCTCCACTCACTCCAGCCTCTGCCTGGTTTCAGAGAACAAAAGGCTGGAGCAACTGGCTAAGTAACTGCCGCAGAAACAGAATGATTAACTGAACCTACCAAGGACTGACCAGGACAGCCAGTGCAGCCAGAACCAAAGAGTGGGAAACGGGGAGTCAGCCCCAGTGAACCAGGCTCTCGGTGAGGTCCAAGAACTCATCCAACAAGAGCGCACACCCGCCTATACTGTCATCACTGGAGAGAAAAACTACAGAAACAGGACCAAGGCTGGACACGCCATGAGCGAAGAGGCTGGGGCCAGTGAGCCCAGGGGTGGCAAAAGAGAGAGCAATGGGGAGACCAGAACCCCAAGCCTTGTCCTCTAGACTGCGTGAGGCCTTCGTGTCCGTGCTGTAGAAGTCATGGGTAGGAATAGGGTTCAGTGGCCCAGCTCTTGCAGAGCAGGCATGATGTCAATCAGTGGCACAACAAAATGACAATCAAATTAAGTTCAATTGAACTAAAGCCAAGTCACTCTCTTTAATAGGGAAAAAAAGGCCAATTTTTAGAAATGTTTTCCGAATCAAGAAAGCTAATTTCTTCAATCCCCTGCACATTAAAAACAAATAAGTATTTCAATGATGGAAAGAAAGAAAAGGATGCGAGTACCCTGGGGATCTTTTTATAGTATAGAGTGTGAGAATATTAATTAAAGGAATCTCAGAAACGAAGAGGGCCTGAGAAACGAAGAGGAACGAGAGTTTAATTCGAGGTGTTGTTTTTGCCGAGTTAACAACAAAAAGTCCCCTCCCTGAGTTACTCACAGCTATTCTCAGGAACACTGTGGGCCCCCAAAATGCTCCAGTTGAAAGTGTGAAACATTGAGAACCAATTTAATGCAAACCTCTCCCAAAGAAGGACCTGTGAAGAGTGAGGAACACAAATTAGCAAACCCTGGGGCACTGAGTGAGCGGCAGAGAGGAGCAGCTAGTGCCCGAACGGCGGCGTTCTTCAAACAGCTATTCTCATCCATTTTTGAAACTGAAAACGTGAAAAGGAAAAACAGATGCTCCTACACAAGGCTTTCCCAAACTGAGTGTCCTTGTACCTGCCAGAATCCATCAAGTGATACTCCTCAGTACTAATTAATAATCAACTAGTGACAACTGCCAGTACCCTTTCTGGGGATCACACTCAGCCTCCTGAGCCTAAAGACAATGTCTCTCAAGTCCTCCTTGGGCCCTACAGGAAGTTTTTCTATTTTGTGAGTCCAGAAGCTGAGTGACAAGATTGCCCACCGTGGTTTTGCTAGTGACTAAGTCCCTGTTCCCGGGGCTAGCAAAAGTTTACCAGGAGCTGCTTGCTCTTCAGGCTTTGCATTCATTAACTCTTAATTTTTCCCAGGCCTAGTAAGTGGGCACTGTTTTTTTAAATTATAACACCTATCTTAGGAGCAAGGTGGCTGGGTAGAAAGAGAGAACAGCTGGCCAGGCCAGGAGAGCAGGTTCACCCCGGGTTTCCTCTGCTTCCCAGCTCCAGCCGGGATCTTGGCCACTCAGTCAGCCAGGGTCTCTCCATGATTTGCATGCTTCCTTTCTGCACTCCTTATCACCACTGGAAAGCAAGCAATGTGTGTGGTCAGAGGCTGTTGCTCATAAATGACTGAGAGCCATTTGAAAGTCAGGAAATCACAACTTTTTGTAACAGTGGTCACTCTTATTCTATTGTCCACTCTTGATCTACATCTCTACGGCCATGAGTGATATGAAAAACATTATTTGGTGGCTTGTTTTAAACGAATGAGTAATATTATCTGTGATTTATCTATTTTTCAGAGCAGATATACTATGCCGGCCCTGTCAATAACCTTGGATTTGAAGTTCCACTGGTAAGGTTTTGGTTTTCTGTTTTGTGTTGTGTAACTATTGTGGCAAAGACTTGATCTTCAGCTCTTGGTTGGAGAAAAAAAAGAGAAGGATGAGAAGAAGGCAAGGAAGTAGGAAGAAGAAGAGGGGGAGGAAGAAGAGGAGATATAGAGGAGAAGTAGCTGAAAGTGTTAGTACATTCCATAATTTGAAAGTGCTAGCACATGCCATAATTAGGAGGCGCGCTTAACATGCTGGCTTCGTCCTTTTGATGCTTCATATTGGTGTTCTATAGAATCTTTGCGCTAAACTAGAACAAACCCTTATGAGAGTTGAAATTCTAGTACCTTGTCCACAAGATTGGCTGGAGTTGGAGAATCCATCTGTCTAGAGTTGCTTGGAATGTGTAGGAGGCTCCTAGCTTCTGGCAGTCCAGAGAAAAGACAGTTCACAAAACCACAAGGGCTTCAGTGTCCCACACAGTTTACTATGACTGCCAAGCTAGGATGTTAGTTCCCTCCTGTTTACTGTTTAATGTATAAAGAACAGGGCTAGGGCAATAGCTCAGCCAGGAAAGTGCTACCTTGCAGACATAAAGCATCTGAGTTTGATCTCCAGAGGCCATGTTTAAAAAGCCAGATGAGGTGGTACATGCTTATAATCCAAGTGCTGGAAAAGCAGAAACAGGCTCACCCCTGGGACCTGCTGGCCACCTAGCCTAAGGAGTTTCAGGTCAGTGAGAGATCCTGACTCAAAAAAGGAAGAAGGTAGATGATGAATGAGGAGTAACAGCCGGGATTGTCCGTGGCCTCCACAGGCATGTGCACACACAATTTATATATGTGTACACATTATAAATGTACATGTATGTGTACATATATTCCACGTACACACACAGCTGCACACACAGACGTGACCACATAACACATGTACACAGATAATATGCACAAATAAATACAGGTGCACCCAGCCCACCACCCCAGAGGCTGGAGCATTCGGAGTAAAGGGGGGCACATCTGGTGGGGGTCCTCTTGCTGGTGAGGACTTTGTGACATCTTATCAGCACAGGACATTAGAGGACAAAGGGAGTCAAAGTTTTTATAACATACCCACTCTGGAGAAAACCCGTTGACTGAATCCACTCACAAGGGCAGAACCCTTTAAAGGTCCCACCAGGGCACATATCTTGACCTCACCCTGAAGATTAAGTTTGAACACACTTTAAGGGCACACATACTGACCTCACTCTAAGGATTAAGTTTGAACACACTTTATAGTGGAGACAGTCAAGCTACAGTAAGGTGTCACAAGCAGATAGAGTGGCCTGTCCTGAGCATTCACCAGCAAGACTCAAAGCAAGAACTAGAATTTCCCAGGAAGTCCTTTTCACTCAAAATAACATGGTTTCTGATGTGTGTGGACTCAAGCTACTCTGACATGGCCACGCATTTTCCTGTTGCTCCTCAAAAGAATGATACAGAACATCATGAAAATGTCATCATTTAAGCACCTTGCCTTCGGCTTCATCTTTTCAGCCGTCTGACACCTGAAGGAGACACTGTCTCTTGCATAAGGAATCTCCTGAGCTTAGTTTCCTCCAGCCCTGGGACTGTTTTCCTCCTGTCCCATCCTGTGCTCTCCTAAGTCACAGAGTCTGGACCAGGCCCTCCCTGGTTTCCACAGGAACCCTTCTCACAATCAGAGTCTCTGTCCCTCCCTCTCTGGAAATCTCCAGCGATCTTCTGCAGCCTTTCTGGGAAATGTGCATTCTTCCAAGGAAGGAAAACTCAGTCTCTCCTCACCCCTAGCACACAGGGCCTGAACTCTCTCAGGGAGCGTTTCTTCACATTGTTGCTACTTGAACACTCTTCCTTTCCTCATTTTTCTTCTGATACCCCACCAGAGACTGATGTAGTAATTGCCTACAATTGGATTTCATTTTGCTTTGCTGGCTTTTTAAAATTGGTTACCCTTAGCAATTCCTATGCGATGAAGGCAGGGTTGGGGAGGGGGGATCTCTTAAAGTCACAGATGCTCTTTGACAGGAAATTTACCCTCAGAGATATAAAGGGCTTTACAGATGCTCCTCATCATAACACAGGATTGCATCCCATCAACTCTCCATGAATTGGAAATAGCTTAAGTTTGAAAATGCATTGAGCCAACCCAGCCTGCCAATCATCAGAGTTCAGTGGCACAACAGGCAAAAGAGTGCCTGTCATTTGATCGTTTATTCTCATGACTGGGCACTGGGACTCCCTGTCACTGCTCAGTGTGGAAGGAGGTTTGAACAGGGGTGAGCCTGTTTCTGCTTTTCCAGCACTTGGATTATAAGCATGTACCACCTCATCTGGTGGGCCATGGGCCTGGAAAAATGAAAATTTTAAATGCAAAGCACAGATCCTGCTGAGCTCATTTCGTCTCTCGCCGTTATAAAGCCATTGTGAGCAGGCGCCATATTACAGTCCTCTACAGTCTTTTTCTTGCATTCTTCATCCAATAATAGTGCTCCAGGAGATACAGGCCAATGTAAGTCAGGCTCATGGCCAGGTGTGCTGACCCTGGTTCTCCTCCTTTTCTGGGGCCTATATGTGGGAAGCAAACACCTGGCCATCTCCTGACCCATCCCCAGGAGATGTAGACCCAACAGAGGACATAGCTTCCTGGGACACATCCCACCCAGGCCTGTGCAGCAGAACAGCTGGGGACCTTGATCTCAAAGAGGCTGTCCACAAACAGCCACAGTGTGACCAGGGCCTCCGGCTCACAGCCAATGGCCACAGAGCTTCGGAAAGAACCGGCACACTGTTCTTAGGAGAGACTCCACTTTCCTAAGAACAGTCAGCTGAGAGCATTTTAGTGAAAGGCGTACTCACAACTCTTCCTTCACCTAGACCGCACAGAGATAGGCTTCGAACTAATGGCGGTTTCTCTTTAGCCAAATTTTTTTCCCACTCAGCATTTACTCTTTGCTACCTTGGTTGTATTTCCTCTCTCTTGAAATGTATTTATCTTCTTATCTATATATGTGGTATATACCTACTAGTGTGGGTATGGGCATATGTTTATGTGTGTGTACACAGACCTGAGGTCTCTGTTGGTTGTCTTTTCTTGGTCTCGCTCCATCTTTACTTTTTACATTGTGTGTGTGTGTGTGTGTGTGTGTGTGTGTGTGTGTGCTGTGTACACATGTCACAGTACATGTGTGGAGGTCAAAGGACAACTTGCAGGAGTCAGTTCTCTCCTTGTGGGTTCTGAAGATCAAACTCAAGACACTCAGGCTTGGCAACAGGCCCCTTTACCACTGAGCCATCTTGCCATCCCTGCGCCTTTATTCTTTGAGACAATGAACCTGAAGTTCAATTCAGCTGGACTGGCCTACCAATGAAATTCAGGGATTCATTTATCCCTGAGCATCTTTTGGGATATATGCCTAGGAGTGGTATAGCTGGATCTTGAGGAAGCGCTATTCCTAGTTGTCTGAGAAAGCGCCAGATTGATTTCCAAAGTGGTTGTACAAGTTTACATTCCCACCAGCAATGGAGGAGGGTTCCCCTTTCTCCACAACCTCTCCAGCATGTGTTGTCACTTGAGTTTTTTATCTTAGCCATTCTGATGGGTGTAAGGTGAAATCTCAGGGTTGTTTTGATTTGCATTTCCCTGATGACTAATGATGTTGAGCATTTCTTTAAGTGTTTCTCTGACATTCGATATTCTTCTATCGAGAATTCTCTGTTTAGCTCTGTACCCCATTTTTTAATTGAATTACTTGATTTGTTGCTGTTTAACTACTTGAGTTCTTTATATATACTGGATATTAGCCCTCTGTCAGATATAGGGTTGGTGAAGATCCTTTCCCAATCTGTAGGCAGTTGTTTTGTTCTGACCTGGAGAGGACAGGAGTTCCACAAGGAGAGCAACAGGACCAAAAATGTGGGCACATGGGTCTTTTCTGAGACTGATACTCCAACTGAGGACCATTCATGGAGATAACCTAGAACCCCTGCACAGATGTAGCCCATGGCAGTTCAGTATCCAAGTGGGTCCCATAGTAATGGGAACAGGGACTGTCTCTGACATGAACTGATTGGCCTGCTCTTTGATCACCTCCCCCTGAGGGAGGAGCAGCCTTACCAGGCCACAGACCTGATAGGCTAGGGTCAGATGGAAGGGGAGGAGGACCTCCCCTATCAGTGGACTTGGAGAGGGGCATAGGAGGAGATGAGGGAAGGAGGATGGGATTGGGAGAGAATGAGAGAGGGGGCTACAGCTGGGATACTTAGTGAATAAACTGTAATCAATGTGACATCTCAGGGTATATATTGATCAGATCAGGGCAACTGGGTAGCCATTGCTATGATTTCTTTATGCTGAGAAATGATAGCACTAGCTTAGTTACTTAAAGCCTTGCCCACCCGCTTATGTTGCTTTTAACACATCCAGTCCCATCTGCACATGATCGTGCATTTGCCTGTGTCTTTTCTTCTCTGAATTAAAACTTAAGAGTTCCTTCAGGCTTCCAAAACATAGGGACATCCTCTTGGTATAACCTGAACCATAAATTGCCATGGACACAGGTACATGCTTCTAGCCTGCAAATTCACGGCCCTTCTCAGTAGCAGAAACAGGATGCTCTCTGTCCATTGCCCCTACTCTGGCTCTTGTCATGTATCCCATACCTCCATCTGACTCCACAAAGGTTCGGTAACATCACCCTCTATATAAAAACATGTGTATCTTGTCATACATAACGTACAGCGCCATCCTTCAAGTGCTGTGTCTTCTTTTAGGCTAATGCCACTTACAGCCTCTTTTAAACACAACAGCCGAAGAGATCCTCCTAACATACCTGAGAAAACCATCACACCTGGGTCCCTTTCATAATCGCAGCAAGAGACTGAGACTCTGGCTTCCTATGGGCTTCCAATCTCCCACCCTCCTCCCTGAAGTTCCATTGGCCTCTCGTCTGTTTCTTCAATACAGGGGCATCAGCCCTGCAGTAGCATGCCATCTTCTAGCATCTCTTTCAGGTCTCTGCCTAAAGGTCATTTTCCCTCCAAGGCTTCTTCCCTTTGATCATCCTACTTAGAGATGCAAGCCAACATCAGTCCCCCCCTTACCCAGCCATCCTTTCCACCCCACTTCCTGCATGAATTTCTCCATAGGGGCTACATCTGCGTTGCTCCTCACCCTGCAAACTTTTCATCTCTCTCAGTGAGATGCAAGCTATACAGGGCAAGGAGTTGGTTTGTGCTCTTCTAGTTTATCTCCAGAGACTGCCATGCCCAGCACACAAAAGGTGCTCAATAAATGTAACTATTCCTCAGTACTCATGAGGAATAGATTCCAGGAGCCTCTCAAACATCAAAATCCACAGATATCGCCAGAAAGATGGCTTAGAAGGTAAAGGTGTTTGATGATCCTGGGGTCCCATATTGTAAAATGGAAAAAAAAAACAAAAAACTAATGTCCATCAGTTGTCCTCTAACACCCCACACACTCACCAATAAGCTGTGGCATGTACACATACATACATACATACATCATACATACATACATAAATGTAAATTTTAAAACCTTTAATGCACAGATGTTGACCCTTTTTTAAAAATAGTCTTTGCAGTGTTACCTATGCTCACCCTTGGGCTCACGTTAATCATTTCCAGATTACTTAGAATACTGACATCATGTAAGCTCTATGTTGATTGTTACACTGGATTGTCCAGAGCATCGTAACAAAGGAGTCTCCGCATGTTCAGCACAGAAACAGCTTCTTGCAAATGTTTTCATTCTGCAGATGGTGGGTTGCTCAGACGCCCAGTCCTTGAGTAGAGAGGGGAGCGACTGTGTTAAGTGACTGACTGTACTGTGGATATGCCTTATGCCTTTCCTGTGTCTCTTGCAGGGAAAATACCATGTCTTGCTGGAACTGTACAATGAAAACCGCGCTACTGTGGCTTGTGCTAATGCTACCATCATGTGCTCCTGACCATGGCCCGCCAGAAAATGCACAGTCAACTCAGCCTCAGGGAACCTCAAGGTCCCCAGGCTCACCTCGCTGTATGAAGACCCCTGATGCCAAAGAAATGCTCTACAAAGAAATTCCTCATGGGTTCCTCTGCCAATCTCATCCCGAGGACAGACGTTCCCAGACCAAACAGACGTAATAAAACCTCTGAAACCATCTATTTCTGAGGCCCCATTTTTAACGGCTCTCCTTACGTAATCACATCTCATCAAACTTACCTCCTTGTCTGCTCCATAGGAACACTTCCTCACAGTTGCCTGGGATTAAAAAAAAAAAAAAAAAAAAAAAAAGGCTCGCACCTATTCATTGTGGCTTGCTCAATGACTGCAAGTACAGTCTGTGTTTGTAAGAGTCTGTTTCCACCCCCCACATACCCCTAGCGCTGTACAGTAAGTCTCAGAAAGCCAAGAAGACGGTAGCCTGCCTAAATTCAGAGCTCCTGGGCCCTAAGGCCATGACAGGAGAAACTGATGAAACACTGACACCATCCCCCACTTGTCCACATACTCTTTACCTTCATCCTCTTTGTCTGTGAGCCCTCCATCTCTGTAACAAATCCCTACAGTAACTAACTTACAAAGGGGAGATGGTTGCCAGGCTCACAGCTTTGGGAGTTTCTGCTGATGACTGTGGCCCTTAGGCTTTGACCTGCAGCGGAGTGTCACCCTACAGCAGGAGCATTTGACAGCGTAAAGGGTCACAGGAGCCCACAATCCCCTTCAAGACAATAACTCCAGTTAACTGAAGACCTCTTCAAGGTTGCATCACCTCTAAGTATCATCTCTCTAGGAATCAAGCTTTTGACTCATTGGCCCTCCAGACAGTCAAGATTCAAACTATAGCATCCCCAAAGCCATTCTTTAGCTGCCCTCAGTGCATATTGAACTCATTCATTCATTCATTCATTCAGGCAATTATGCTAACCACTTTGCATATCAGGTACTACAGTCTTAGGATACACTTACAAACAAAAAGAATTATTACCTCCTCAGAATTATTAGTCTCCTGAACTGCTTAGAAGTCAGGTGTCCAGTTTGGGGAACGTTAACTCATATCAGTCACAAGTCCCTCCTTCGGTGCCTCGTAAGTGGGCCTGTTCCCGTCTTGCTTCTGGAGCCATTCCATCTTGCATGTGTACATGGTGCTTGGGCTCTGCTGCACTTCAGTCCCATTTTCTTCCAGCCTCTACCGGGCAGTATCCCTGGGCCTCCTGCCACAGGGTTCTAGTAGAGGTAGGTGGGTTGGCTTTATCATCAACCATTCTTAGTACCTATAAAAGTGTCTTTGTGTCAGATTAGAAGAGGAAAAAAGTTTCCTAGTCGAAAGCATGTTAGTTGCTTTGAATACCTGTAAGTACATAATTAAATCTCTGAGAATGGATGGTGCTGAGAACGGATGGCTGGACATACCCGGTGAGTTGGCGCTAAGCCAACGAGGACGGCCAGACATACATGCATAGGAAGTCAGAGATTTAGAAGTAGTATTTAATAGGTTTTCTCTGCCGACGAAATAAATTGATTCAAGCTGAATTAAAAGTAAAAAGTGCAGGTTTATTTGGAAACAGCTCTCAGATGACCTCACTGGTCCCAAGGAATGGGGCCAGAGAAATCACCATGCTGACAGGGAGACCAGGGAGGAGGGGTGAAGAGCACACACACACAAAGGGAGAGAAAAAATAAACACACACACACACACACACACACACACACACACACACACACTGACCAAAATGTCTGGGTTATATACGGAAGAGCCTCTGGGGGAGGGCAAGCCCAGCCCCTGGGCTGGAAAGTTCACTGTAGAGGGTGAGGTGTGCCAGCCATACCCTATTAACACGTAGGGACTGAGGTATGCTGGGAGAACCTGGAGGCCAGGTCCATTTTGATGTTTTAAATAGGTACCTCAGCCATTTGTCCAGGGTCTGAAACTCAATAATATGGAAGTTTTCTGAGTTGATGGCCAACAAAAATGATAGCAGTGAACCCTTAATGTTCACAAGAATCACAGCCATGCCAGGCCTAGGAGCAAGCCTGTCATTACACCACCATTCTGACCCTTCCGTTCTCTGCCATGCCAGGTACGCGCCCCGTTCCTTTTTCAGTACATTCCTGTGACTGATGAAAGCCCTCATAGTCTCTGTACTCACTCACACATCTCAGAACAGCTGGCCCAGGCTCCCGAAGGCATCGGATGCCAACCATTCCTTTCCTTTTGCTCTTCTTAAACCTGACAGCTCTGGTGTGTGTGGGTGTGTGGGTGTGGGTGTGTGTGTGTGTGTACATACATGTATAATGTCATAGACATAGACATAGTCAGATTCTTTGTTTGAATTAAGCAAGGACTGTCATTTACAGGGCTGATCCCTGGCATGGCTGTAAGAATACACTCACAGTTTCACTAAGAACACGATTTGTAAGAAAAAGAAACTCCTCCTCTGTCTCAACATATGCAGTTTCTTAATGTCTTATCCTAAGCCTCGGTTTTTACCATTTTTGTAAGTTGAGAAAAATTTTTTCTCAATTTTGCAAGTTGAGGAAAAAAAAAAAAAAAACCTCCAGTATTTAGGAGTCTTTTACAAAAACACAGTTCGACCGGGTAGGAGAAGTGGCCAGACTCATTCTGGTGGAAAATAGTAACTGAGACTGTGGTGTGGCAGACGACTGGAGGTGTTGAGAAGTGGTTCCCAGATGAGGGTAGCCCCCACTCCTCATCAGAAAAGCTTCTTCTGCAGCACACAGGGAAGGCTGCAGAGAGCCGCAGCTGCTCAGAACACAGAGGACTGACTGCGGTGCCCGTCCTAAACCCAGGAGAAATGGCTGAGGTGCGCATTAACATAGCAAAGTGGACTTGGCTGCCGGATGCTCCCACCGTCCCCTCAGTCCCTGACTGTTACAGAGTATGGCTGGCATGCCCTACCCCTACCCTAAACTTCTCCAGCCCAAGGGCTCGTCTGCCCTTCTCCCCAGCTGCCCTTCCCTATTTAATCCCATAATTTTGGTTACCTGCCCCCTTTTTTGGTCTACCAGGCACCCTCCTAGCCTCTTAGTCTACTTCTGCCTTCTTCTCCTCACATGGCTCAGTCCAGTCATGTTCACTCAGGACTCTCCCAGATGTCTCTGCCTCAGATTATCTGCTCCCTTTTACCTACAATAAACTTTCTGTTCCACCATACCTAGAACCAGTCACATCTTTTGCTTTTTTCTTTTTTTTTTTAATTTCTTTTTTTTTTTCTTTTTTAATTCAGATAGATTTACAACACAACCCTGCACCTAAGGCTTAGGGAACATTGCAGAGCACAAGGAAGAAAGGTTGTAAGAACGAGAGGATTGGGAAGTCTGTGGTAAGACTGTCTCCTGAATATGACAGGAAAGGTACACCCATGGAATCTCATCATCACGGCTGCTTAACCAATACCCGAACAATGACAACACAGTTGACATGCCAACGTTGATGAGGGGATTTTAATGGGACACTAGATAAGAGCTACCAGCAGTTGAAAACTGCTGAGAAAAAGAGAAAATTACTCTTCCCCAGAGATGATCTCCTGAAATGGTGATCCAGTCCCAAGGACTCAGTCCTAAAAATATATACAAACAAGCAACACTAAACAGACTCGACATTTGGAATTTATAATGCAAATAAGTGTTTGCATATGTATGTAACAATAGTAGTTAAAGAGTAAGAGGCCATAATTTTTTGGAGGAGAGGACACGGGAGAAGTTGGAGGCAGGGAGAAAATAACACAATTATATTTTAATTGAATAAAAAGTTGTTTTTTTTTAAGTGGGTGCCAAGAGCCAGAAATCTGGGTGGTGTCGTAAGGAGGCTAGAGAGCAAGGAAGAGACCCAGACAGTCTAAAAAATAGTTTAAGTTTACTTATCTTCTCCTAAAAAGACTTTGCTACTGTTTTAAAATCCCCCTGGAAACCTCCGGGAGCTTGTCCCGACCTCTGAAGCAGAAAAGAAAACCGGTTTGACGAGGTTACACTCTTCACCAGAATTAAAGGCCTCTCCTGAAAGCTCCAGCCACAGTAATAGCCCCTCCCTTTCTATATTTCAAGGGAAATTCCAACCTCTCTGCATTGAATATTATTGAAGTATCTTTTTGAGGGAGCAGTATCTTCCTGGCGAAGCTGTGAGGCACAGGACAGGGACCTCAGCGGAGGCCCACCTTCCTCCCACTATGGTCCATTCCTTGATGTGACGGTACCTTTCAATGGCACTGTTCTTGAGCCCAAGACATTAACACATGGGCATTTGGGGGACTCAAAGGGTGATGTGTGTGCAGCTTAGAACAGTGCTTGGAATGCCATCAGCGACATTATTGTGTCGGGATTGGTACTCAACAGTGGAGGCAATGCCTCATGCCCTCCCTTCTGTCTCCTGCCACCTTCCTGTCTTATCCCCCCCTCACCCTCCATGACAGCACCAAACGATGGCAGAAGGCCATCCCTCATCCATCATGTTAGCCATATTTCAGGAACTGTGCCTGTCCTAATGACTTTCTGCTGCTGTGGCAGAACACTGTTTGACACAAAGCAGCCTAGGAAGAAAAGGGTTTATTGGCTTGAACCTCTGGATCCCAGACCATCATTGAGGGAAGTAAGCCCACAGTGTGCTCTGCCCTCCGTCAGACAACCCAGGCCCACCGGCTCAGGGGCAGCGCTGCCCACAGTGTGCTCCGCCCTCCATCAGCAATCAGGAATCAAGAAATGTCCCCACAGGCTTGCTTACAGGCCAACCCTCTATGGCAGAGGCATTTTCTCAGTTGAGGTTTCCTCTTCCCGGATGACTCTAGCTTACATCAACCTGACAAAAACTGACCGGTACAACTGATCCCTTTCAGCTTGGTGCACAAAATACCACTTGGTGATAAAATACCACTATTTTATCTAAGAGTGCTATGGCTAGCTTTCTTAGACCAAAGGGGGCAGGATGTTTCATGGGTTATAGGTTGGATCCATGAACTCTCCAAAATATTTCAGAGAAATTCATTTCCCCAAAAAATAAATTGGAATTCCCCCCCCCAAAAAAAAAATATGGAAATACTGTTACCAGGCCAAAAGGATCTTTGGAAGAAAGCATGTGTATATTTTAATTCAACTTGTTCCCTGCAAATAAAGACACACCTAGAAGACCTGAAGAACCAAATATAGCA